GCATTACGTGCCCGGCCCATCTTATCTTGTTCTGCTTGGCGTACGCGGCAGCGTCCCTGATCTTCGATCGTTGACGTAGGGTAGAACTTCGTAACCCTTGCCTCACTTGCGTGAGTCGATTCACTCCTAGCATCACTCTCTCAACAGCTCGTTCGATGACGCTAACCGCGTGTTCATCCTGCTTTCTCATTGTCCATGTTTCTGAAGCGTACGTCAAAGCAGGAAGAACCGTCGAGTTGAAAAGGTGGGCGCGGAGCCGGATGTTCTTTGTCTTCTTCACTACGGCTGCGTTCATACTGATTCCCATGTTCTGGAACTGTTCCCGCACAGTTCTCGCACTGTGCTGAAACTGTGCGGGAACTGTGCGGGAACTGTGCGGGAACAGTTCCAGAACTGTGCTGCATGCGCTGCAGCCGCCCCGCACCGTTTTGAACGGCGGGAGTTGGAGAATTTTGACCGTTCTCAACGGTTTTTCTTCCAGATTTCGCTCATTTTGGCCTTAATCCTCCACCCCGCTTCCCTTTTTGATCAGCAGCACTGCGAACTCGAAGCGGGGTTGAAGAATGAGCGCTTTTCTGCGCCGTGTATTCGGAAAGATGGGCTATCGTGCGATTGTTCATTCTGTCTTCTTGTTTTTTGCTGAAAACTACTTCATTTGTTCCAGGAAGCGGCTGCCTAGTTTCCATAGCCATCTGCCACAAATTAGGGAGTAGGAGAAATCCTGAAATTGCATGAGTTGGGACTTGTCTCTTGTTTTTCATGATTTTGGGCGTTCTTAGCCTTGTTCGTTTTCCCATGTCGTTGCTTCTCCGTTCTTTCTTCTACCCCGCTTCTCCTAGTGATGAGAAAAGCTGTGAATTTGAAGCGGGGTTGAGGATTGAACGCTGTTCTGCTCGATGTATCCGGGGATATGGGCCCTCGTGCGCTCGTCCATTCTCTCATCGCTATTTTTGTTCAGACCTATTCATGTGTACTAACAAGTCGCTGCGTAGTCCCGCATCGTATTAAAATTGAAATAGACAAGTCTCTAGAACACATGAAGTAGGTCTGAACAAAAATAGCGATGAGAGAATGGACGAGCGCACGAAGGCCCATATTCACGGATACATGGAGCAGAACAGCGTTCAATCCGCAACCCCGCTTCAAATTCACAGCTTTTCTCATCACTAGGAGAAGCGGGGTAGAAGAAAGAACGGAGAAGCAACGACATGGAAAAACGAACAAGGCTAAGAACGCCCAAAATCATGAAAAACAAGAGACAAGTCTCAACTCATGCAATTTCAGGATTTCTCCTACTCCCTAATTTGTGGCAGATGGCTATAGAAACTGGGCAGCCGCTTCCTGGAACAAATGAAGTAGTTTTGAGCAAAAAACAAGAAGACAGAATGAACAATCGCACGATAGCCCATCTTTCCGAATACACGGCGCAGAAAAGCGCTCATTCTTCAACCCCGCTTCGAGTTCGCAGTGCTGCTGATCAAAAAGGGAAGCGGGGTGGAGGATTAAGGCCAAAATGAGCGAAATCTGGAAGAAAAACCGTTGAGAACGGTCAAAATTCTCCAACTCCCGCCGTTCAAAACGGTGCGGGGCGGCTGCAGCGCATGCAGCACAGTTCTGGAACTGTTCCCGCACAGTTCCCGCACAGTTCCCGCACAGTTTCAGCACAGTGCGAGAACTGTGCGGGAACAGTTCCAGAACATGGGAATCAGTATGAACGCAGCCTACGTCCTCAATTGTCTTATATGCTCCCATGCTGCACGTTTCCTCCTGCTCAGTTCCGGAGCTAGATCGTTCATCATATTGAGTTCACGACCTAGGTAGGTGTAGCTTGAGCATTCGGTGATGTTCGTCCCGTTGAGCATGAAAGGAGCATCAGGCACTCTTCCGTTCCTCATGAACATCGTCTTCGTTAGATTCAGCCGTAGACCGATCTTTCCACACACTTCGTCAAACTGGGCCAGCATTTGTTCCGCCTGCGTGATGCTTGGTGTTATCAATACGATGTCATCAGCAAAGCGAAGGTGGTGTAGCTGCCGGCCGTCGACTTTCACTCCCATGTTGTCCCATTCCAACTTACGCATGACGTTCTCCAGAGCGGCACTGAATAGTTTCGGCGATATAGTATCGCCTTGTCGCACGCCTCTTTTCACGTCAATGATGATGTCCTTGTAGAATGGTGTTATGGTGGTTGTGAAGTCGTTATACAGCTCACGAATTATCTTGATGTAATGAGTCGGAATACCTTGATTGCTCAAGGCATCGATGACGGCTTCAGTCTCAACCGAGTCAAAGGCCTTCTTCAAGTCGATGAAGGTGAGACAGAGCAGCATCTTATACTCTCGTGACACTTCAATGAGCCGAAAGTATGAAAAAAAGTATGAAAAAATTTAAAACTGTCCAAAAATGTTTTCGAGTGCGTCCTGTAGACGCACTCGAATTGTTAAAAAAATTCATTACCGTCCGTATTGATACGGAGATATTGAAAATTTCTCAAAAGGCTTTGCCAGTTACAATGCTAATGTTCGCCAACATGACAAACCATCGACCAAGACGGAGGTGACCTGACATGATTGTGCTATCCTCAAACTGGCTAAGCATTAATTCTCTGTACAATTACCAGCTCGTCCGGGTTCTCACCAGAATTGAGCGTGAGGTCAGGCGCGCCCCACCTAGGGGGTCGTATTGGGGGTAAGAGCAAGGGGAGGGTCGTAATCAAGAAGCAAATTCGATCAAAAAATTGAGGAAGTAGTACGTTCAAGTGAGGTGAAGAAGAAATGCGCTTAACCGTGAATCTCACAACTCCACCAGAGGAATGACTGTCGTAAACAACATTCTGATTAAGTCGACTAACCAAATCTTACTTATACATATCGTAAGGTCACCGGTGAAACTTTTCGTGTAAATTGGGTATGATTTCCGTAACCAGCATGCCAAATTACCTCAACGAGATCTACAAACCGTTACCCATAACATTTTCTAATGTTTCCTAACGCCTAAAAAACCTGCCAAATGCTAAAAATGCTGCCAAAATTTTTAAACATGATTCACTTGGTCACAAAAGTGAAAGAAGTCAGCTTTTTTGTATTCATAACGAAGTATTTCCTTTCATCAGTCTATAGTAGAAATTGGACTTTATATCGCTTCCAAGTAATGGATTAAGAAGTGCTGCCAAAATCTTAGTCACCGCGTTTTCTACCTCGAATGCTTCTGCTCGACCGATCACCACAAAGACGAAAAAGTTGAGGTAAGCTCAAACACCTATTGTAGAATCTCCAAGGTTTATTCTAGCGAATCATATGCAACTAAGGTGAAAAAGCTTCTTCGGTGATAAAGTTAATCGGGTCAGGCGCAACCCCTTAAAAGGTCAGGCCTCCTGAGCTTTTGAGGAGTTGCGCCTGACCCCCTTAACTTGCCTTCAAAATCCAGAAATCGCTCCATTCTTGGTATGAGTATTGAGCTCATAGCTTCTTCTTGCTACAGTAAGAATTTGGAGCCAAACGCCCCATTCATAGAAAAATTAGGGCCTTTTCAATAGGACCATTTGGATCAAAATCAGCCGTCAAATTACGTGTGATTGTAAATTGCAGTCACAGAAAATCAGGCGTACCTACAGTTTTCAAAATCTGAAAACTCTCCAGATAAGGATGATGTCCTTTAGAAAGTCACACTCTGAGGTTCCGGAGGCCAAGAGGAGGAAAAAGGGGTAGTTTGGGGGCTTCCATGGGAGGGGGAGAGTCGTTTCCGAAAGACTTGTGCCTGACCTCTTGCTCAACTCTGGTTCTCACTCACCACCTAGGATGCCATTTCACTGACAAAAAAAAACACCACAATACGGACTGTTAGCCATGATGTGGTAGTTATGGGGATAGCGTATGTGACACCGATGTGTAGAGCTTTGCAACCCGTCATGCCTTGCATAAGAGATTTTTTGAAAGTCTTCAAGACTTTTAGAAACTGAAAACGGAAGTGTAATAATCATCCGCCAACCTTATACATAACGATCGGCATTACACTTGTGTGATGCGATGAGTCAATCAGTGTGTATGTACGCATACATGAACGCACTCTTAATGCTACATTTTCCATCTCCATACTTAGCGCTTTTGCATTATCCATTATTGCTTATCTACTCAAAAAAGCAAGAAGAGTAGATCATCTTACACTAATTCGTCTTTTTGGTAATATAACAATCTCAGTTCAGTTGGTTCCTATTGTGATAATGGAATTTTATCGAAAAATGATGTCTATCAAGTACTCTTTCTCGTCAATGATAAACGCGCGATAGTGGCTGGTGGCTTGCAAGTAAATGGCAAATCTGATATTTCATTTAATCCCAGAGATGGTTGGAAACCTGAGAAACTCCCTCCAGCCAAAAACATGTCTAAAATGGTAAGTTCGCTCTGCCTTATTTAAAGTTCAGCTCCATCTTGATTTAGATGCATTATTCATACTAATCCAATCTTTCGAAATTACTATTTAGATCTTTAGAAAATTAGATAAAACCTATCCTAGACAAGTTTTTGAACACTCTTTGATTTTCCAGAGTTGAGGGGTTTACAGTGAAGATCATATAAGTGGGACTTAACAAGCGCAAAAGCTCGTAGGAATATGCCTCTATCATTTTTACACTCCTGTATTGCTTTAGGCGTATGACTGCGCCCTGGAACAGACTGCTAACAAAGCTTTAACAGAACTGGATTGCAACAGCATGTCAGAAGCATACTTCTCTGGGTACGAAATACAATTCCAATGAATCTTCTTGTTTCTTTGAATAATTTTTGCAACTTTCTTAGTTTATTTATTTTTCTATTAGAAGACTACAGTATCCTTCATGCTTCATTGCAAGCGTTGATCTCTATTGACAGAATCGGCTTTGAATCTTTCACCACTACTCAGTCCCTGAAATATTCTAACAGCTACGACTTCGTGAAAGAATATGTCAATGTACCTTTTTACAAAAGAGGTATCATGAAGGACGTCAACGATCTTTCTTACAGCTGATGCGTGCTGATGCGTCCAGAATAGGTTGCGCAAGCAAGAAATGTTCTCGTAATTATATGTGCCTTTGCGTCACTAATCAGAAGTGAGTCTTTCGCATTCTTTACTAGCATTTTGAGCAGATGAAATTAACCTTTTGCTGCGTATTCGATGCGCCAGAAACTTGGCGAGAATAGATAGCATTTAAAGTACAGCAGGATTGCGATGCTAGCTGATTTTCTTTTCTTTCCATACAGTAAATGTGGACCTCAGTTATTTCTAAATCAGCAAATAAAGACTATTAAAGAAATAAATTTCTTTGGCGTCTTCTTCAAGAGCAAAATTTTGTAGTCTTCTTCGATTTAAGCCTTTTTCTAAAGAATTAAAAAAAACTCCCTAAATTTCTTATCAAATCTCGCGTGCTGATTCTCGAGAGTTAGACTCGTATATAATTGTAGCGAATTGATAAAGCAAACTTTATGTGGTTCGCGTTCACAGATTCTCGAGCTTGGCTATCAAATCGAAATAATTTTTTAGAAGACAACTGATTTCGATTTTTGTGATGACAATGTCTGAAACAAGAAGAAATTGAATAGTCGGAAACGTAGTGTCGAATGCCGTACTGGTTCGACAAAAGTTCTTGCGCACCATATTTGTTTTAATGATTTTTAGATTCTTAAGCTCAAATTTATGGTTGTGTCTACAGGAAAATTAAGATTTGCGTTTGACGACACTTGTTTAGTCGCAATTTACTATAAGTTAATCATGAAGAACAAAGCTTAAAAATTTTGCACTTCAAGTTATTTGATTTTGACATGCTTGCCACAAATACATCGTAGCAGAAAAAAAAATTGTGAGTTTGAAGTAGAGATAGTCCACACATTACTGGAAAGCACGGCTCAAAACCAGATTTTTGACTGAGCTCATCTCTAGCAAATGTAAAGTTCACTAGGTAATAAACTCTAATTTGCAGAAGTATTACAGTAATAAAGAAACGTTTTCATGTTTTTGCTAAGATGCGAGATTGAAGCCTCCCACGATAACGTGCGAACTATCTATGTAAGGAGCTTTCATATATTCGTTGGGGGAAGGCGGTCGATTGATACCCGGACAGCCGCCTGCGCACCAGTTGATAATTAGCGAGGAGAGACGTAGGCTTACTTGCGTTGCGCCAAAAGTGGTCAGATTTCTTAACTTGAGTTTTTTCCCGCTTCCCAAAAATTGGATGTCTCGTAAAAATTCTGGATTCAATCAAAAAATAAACATGATTGCAACTAATTTTTGGAATTTTCTGAAATGCCCTAATTTTCATAGTAAAGCCAATCTTCTCAAGAGAAATTGCCTAGAAAGTTGAACAAAGATTAGAGGAGCACCAAAACGGCCTAAATTGCTTACTCCTCACTACTCCTCACTAATTCTCCTGAGTTCTACAAAAATACTCAAGGTTGATACTTTTTTTAGAAGTTTGAGACAAATTTTCAAACACCCAGTCAAATAATTTTCAAACCAACTATAGGGTAGCCCCCTCCTCCCCCCCCCCACCCCCCGGACTGGGTCGCGACAATTTTGGAAGTCACTTATATGGGTTATAAATATGTGCTAGAGACTTGTTTACACCTGTAAGTAAAGAAAATTAGTAATTTTTGAAAATTTTTGAATCCAAATTAGCCCCGTGTAAACAATGTTTTCGGGGGCGTTTTGAGAGGCATCTGAAACAACTTTCGAAGTGCTTCAATATCTTTCAAACAAAGATGCATGGCTGACGCCACGCGCCTTTATTTGAATGAAGTTTTTGTCCCCAGCCCCCGGGCGGAAATCCTGGGTACGCCGCTGTCGGTGGGGTAGTGACAAACTAGTGTTCTTTCGCAAGAAATTCAATCATGATCGAGTGCCGTTTAGGAAATTAGACTTAAGATTCGAAAAATCAGCTTTATTCGGGTTACGCAAGTTTTTTTGGCAAACCTACAACTTAACCTGCTCAAACATCAGAACGTCAAGATTTTGATTGCATTTATGCCTGTCAGCGATCACGTCAGATTTCACCCACAATAGAAATAGGTTTATTGAGCTGAAAGAGTATTTATGAAGCCTGCTCTTAATTGCTAATACCCATGCCCATCGGAATGCCATAATGAAAGCGGCGATTGGAGCTGAGATAAAAATCAGTAAAAATTATTGTGAAAAGCGATTAACTTCTAGTTGCTGGCATTTCAAGAGATGGAATAGCTGTAATGCTGCTAGATTTGATATTAGCTGTCGAAAAAAACTTATCGTGATGTCTGCAACACAACACTGCGAGATACCTATTCTCAAGCACATTTCGAGGTTTCATTTGCTCGTTAAGGAGGAATTTGATTTTTTATGTTTTCGACAGAATTCTGAATGGCTGCCAGAAATAAGTTGAACATGAGGGAGATTCAAAGATACCAGCTTCAACTCAAGCATAACAAAACACTAATCTGTTTCTTCTGTTGTTATTGTGGTCGTTTCCATGCATTTCTCCAGTTGTGCAATCGCCCATGTGCGGGAACGGGACGATGCCAAAAAGCAAGAAGAGATTGACGAGATCATGATGGCATACTAGTGTGGGCCCCCAACTAGGCAAACCCCCAAGCTTCGCCGCAAAAGACTGCTTCTGGAGCGAGAAATCCGCTCCGGAAGTAGCAAAGTAGGCGGGGCGACGTCCCCCCCCCCCACTTGCATGCTTCATCTCGCCTGCGCTTGTTGCAGAGGGTTCTCGAAACAGGGATTTTTGGGGGTTTCGCCGGTTTTCGACTCCATATTCGGAATGAGGGCTTGCTTTCAGAAAGCCGAAGGCGACAAAAACATTGAATTCGAGATTTTGGGTGTACGCTGCCCTCAACCCCATCGACAAATGTGTGATTTTTGCAAAGAACCGTTGGGCATTCTCCCCAGATATCAGAGCCAAGAGAAAATTAAAGATACGTCGTAGGTAAAACTTTTTCACCCTCCTCCTATTTTGGATCCAGCGTATATGCCACTAGGGGGAAGGAACAGAATCGAAGGTTGATAACCTCACTTCTTTGCCAGCCTTCTGGTTGTTTGCTACTACCTAGAATCAAAAATGTCAGGCACTACCTCCAAAATCGACTTTTCGATGTTTCGATTCCTCAATGTAAGGGTTGTGAAGCCTTACTTTAGTGTTCTTCGCATATTGTTCGGCAAACAGATTTTCAAGCATACCGCTTTCTTTGCTAGCGTTCTTAGGCTGTGGGAAAAAGCGTAATAGATTTTTTGACATTGCAGGACATGCGTTCAATTCACTTAAGTAAGCTGTTATGAATACTCTAAACTACAGTAAAATTTCAGGCCTATTAGTGCTGGAGACGAAATCTATGAAATACGTACTGACGATGATGTAGATACTGAGTGTGATCTTCCCTGGACTTCAAAAATCACATCCACGACAGTATTCCCTAATACAAGCACCTCCGGTAAGTGTAATTGTCGGAGCCCTATCCTTATTATAAGGTTGGCTAATGAATCTGCAGTCCGGTAAGTAATAAGGTTGGCTAATCGTTTCAACACGTTGATGACGAGCCATTTTTTCAAGTCTGCCCTCGTGGACGAGCAATTTATGTACTTTTACGTCTGGTTGTATGTACAGTCGAGTAGATTTTCAGCTTGATATAGTGTGCTTGCACTGAAGGTGAAATGCGGTAAAACTTTGGCGTGAACAGATAGCTGCGCCTGTGACGCCGGCCAACTGCGCGCGCAAAAGGCTGGCATTACTGGCGCAGCTATTTGTTCATGCGCAAATTTTACCGCATTTCACCTTCAGTGCAAGCACAATATATGCACATCTTTCACCTATGCGTGAAAGATGAACATACAAGTGGGGTAGGGGGCAGCTCCCCCTTCTTATGGGAAGCTCCGCTTACTCCTCAAAAATGCTGGAAATTGCTTGAAATCTATAATTTCGAGCAAATGCCGACATTTCCCAAAAGTGGGCGGAGCTTGCCATTGATGGGCGACCTGCCTGATGGGAGACGGGGCCAAGATCAAAGCTGCTCCAGGCTCCGAAAGTCCTTTGCGACCCCTATCGTTTTGCGTACAAGAAAATTTTTGCAGAAAGCAAATGATTGGGCAGAGTTGCCAAATAGAGGCGGGGCCAGCATGAAAAACTCCTGAGCCTACATTGATTATATGGACACAAACTAGAACGATTTGGCACATAGAAATTGAAATCTAGAGTGCCGCGCACCATTGCATGGTAACACATTGACGACAATGAAACCATATGGTGGGTCACACAATGACTGTAACGTGGGGCGGTGTGACCCATATGATTGGTCATGGCTTGAAATGTGTTGAAATGACCATTATTTCGGAATAAATTCGTTTCAGAAATTCATGCACCCACTCCAGAAATTGATTCGGCATATCTCGGCTGCTTCTCACAATTAGGTATACTATAGATGTGATTTGCTGATTTCAGCTCGAAATTCCCAATTCATCCGTTGAAGACATCGGCCCGTAGTAAAGCTCGGTCACGGGAGATTATCTCCCCTTAGGCCCTCATATGAGGCTTTATAGGGTGAGATGAGGACTGCCCACTTTTCCGTGGTGTAACTATGCAAGGTCACCCTACAGGTGAGCTTCAGATGAAGCCCGGCAGGGAGATCAGCTCTCGACCGAGTCATCGGAAATGAGCCGGGCGACGACGTAAGCTAGATACTGTGCTAAAGATGAGAGCACAGAGAAAACCTCCGTAAGTTGCTCCGGAGTAACTTACGAAACATCGCAGATGACGTTCTTTTGCGGTGCAGAACTCCCAAAATTGCACAATTTCGGGCGCCTAAGTGAGTGAGGATCGATGAACAGCTGATTGCGCGACGAAATCGGAAAAAAGTTTTTTTTGCATTTTTCTTACAGTTGACACACATTTTTTACGGAAAGACCGCTTCAAATGACAAATAGGTGAATTTATCTTTTTATTCGTTTTTCTCTAAATGTAATTTTTCCTCGTATGTATGCCAAAATAGTGCTTATTTGTTTTATCTTGTTGTTTGCTAAGTGAAATCTCTGATAGCGGCTATCATCGATTTTTCGATAGCGGCCGCTATCAAAGGTCGCCGGGCCAAGCAGCAAAAATGGTGCCGCTAGCCGCACTCGAACCACAGCCCCGCCGCTTGCGCATTAATCTTATCCATTTGACTAATAATGCTCAAATGTCAGAAACGTTCCATTTTTGAAAACGCGAATGTCCAGTAAGTGACCTGCTCCAAATCAATCGCTCCCCTGGCAATGTGCTGAGGCGCGTTGAGATCACCTCCGGTCCGCCTTAAGAGAGATGCCCTGATGGGGGGTTTACTACGGGCCATTGTTCCACAAACAGGCAGATGAAAGTGTGCGCCGTTGTCAACGTGTTAACGAATTTTTCAACACCGACGATTTGTACCAATGCTTGGTACATTGGAATGATTCAAGAAGAAACACATAGTCAGTTTTGCCCGAGCTGAATTTTTTTAAAGGAATTATGCAGAAGTTTGAAAAACTTTGATTTTTACAAGTCAACTTTGCCGGAACCAAAATCTTTTTTTGACGAAATGAAGCGGGAATATGGAAAACTTCGATGTTCGCACCAGATTTTCCATCCATTCAATGATTCAACCATTTACACGATCATACATAGATGAGCAAACTCAAACTATATAGAGTGCCCAAAAATTGACTTTCATGCGCAAATGTCAGAAAACTCCCACCATTTTGACTGCAGAAGTTCGCGGACTGCAGATCACAGTCTGCTTTGCCGTTCCACATATAGCCAAAGCTTCTATGAGAACAACTACAAAATTACTCATCTGTACATTCACTGGATGGAAAGGAAATTTAGTAAGTCAGACTGAGTTTTTGAAAACTAGCCTATAAAATACTTGTTTAATATTAGTATAGAAAATTCTGAGTATATGATATGTGAGAGTTTTGGACCTGTTAGTCAACATCACTTCGAGATAATTTTGGTCCCATCGCTAGTCTCCATAGTTGTACCCCTTGTCCGAGTATTCGAAAACATCGCTCAGAGGATTTTTCAGTAAGAGTGATGATGCGCACCTTACAGTTGCAGCGGTAGAATTTGTCCAAAACTGCGGGATTGTCGGGATTCGCGGGATTCGCGACATCACGGGATTTGCGGGATTCGCGGGATTTGCGGGATAAGGGGGATTTAGCTATGACTTCTTTCAAAACAGCTTTATTTGTAATCTGCGGGAAGATTTGGCTTCAGCTTGATGAGACGAATCCTCCGGTATACAATATGTCCGTAGTTCATAGTGACACGGTAGACATATGGTGATACCTTGTTATTTTCTATGTTAAGGCTTTTGTGAACATCTATCACAGTGTAGATCGCGAAAAATTGGGCAGTTTTCAATTACCCTTATCACTGATATAAGCATTTCATCATTTATCACTGATAATATCACATTTTCGGATCATTTTTGGCATTTGGTAAGATAAGTAGTGTAGGAAACGCTGAGTGAATTTCTATCGCTCTTTCTCTCATTATAAGTGATCTACAGGATTTCCTAGTTCTATTGTTCGGCCAATTGGTAGATCCCTCGCTGCAGCAATCGATCGATTTTTCATCGGCACATGCCATTGCTGCCAGTTCTTACCTCAAATGGCAATCTTGCTTCAACTCGCTTCACGCCGAAGCTTGGGCTGAAATTCTGCATCTATATGGAAGATGAACGTGGGAATCGACCGCATGAATTTAAGCCATTCTTATCTGTCGTTGTCATTGATATCATCATGTTATCGTTTATCACTGATGATATCACAAAATGGGATTATTTTTGAGATACTATAAGAAATGTACTTTAGAAAACGCTGTGCGAGTTTTTATCGCTCCATCTCTAGAATGTGATCTACAGGCTCTTTCGGTTCAACTGCGCATTCGGTGCAGTAGATAGATCCCTCACTGCAACAATCGATTGACTGCTCATCATGCGCATGACTCCTTGGAGACGTTGCTTTTTCTAAAAAATCCACCGCTCTTCAAATTGTGAATGAACGGAGTCGCCTGTCAACAGAAGTTCCAAAGATGAGCTGAACACTTCTGTTTTCTGCGTATGACACACAAATCCACATCCAAGAAGGCGATCGGTCTAAGGTGCGAAACTGCGCAAACGGCGTGCTCGAGCATCTTTCCATCAGAGTCCACACCGCGAACGATGCGCCTACATAGGCTGTTGCCTGCATATCGAAGTCTTTTGAGATTACCAAAAGTGTTTAGATCCAAAAATTGAACCTTCCACTATCTCGAAAGTGAAAAAAACACGTGCTAGACGCACATCGCACTCAGAGACTGGACGCCGTTGCGTCCAAACACGATAGTTCGCGAGGAAGAGACCGTAAATGGTCAGACGAACAATAGTCCGTCATATCTAAGAGACGCAGACAGAGTCCGCAGTAGCGGCCGGCCTCTGCGTGCGACGAATTACACTCATGCATTTGCAAACAGACACAAACAACCACAGTAAATCGTGCAAACAGCTCGTTGTCGTCGAGGAGGCCTCTATCGTGCATTCCTCCCTTGATTTCCCACTCAATGATTCATTCTCGACCGTGTTTCGAATTTGCAGTCACCATTTCTATCTCGCATTACGTCTCGGGCAGAGTTCACGCGATTTCATAGTCGCGATTAGTCAGTACAAGACAACTGTAACAATATCATTACATGTTGATCTTCTTGCTTTCGGTTGTGCTAGTTTTTCAACACGACTAATCGTGACTAACTATCACAACCGAAATACAAGAAGATCGGCATGCAATGAACTCGTAACATTAGCCTTGTCGCGATGATTCGCGACGATGAAATCGCGTGCACTCTGCCCGAAGCCTTAGGCTGCGTTCATACTGATCCCGAATCCGGGAACAGTTCCAGCACAGCGCCCAGCTCGAGCGCTGTGCTGGAACTGTCCCCGGACTTCGGGATCAGTATGAAGGCAGCTTTAGGTGTTGATTCGGAATGTCAGCACGTTCCTTAGGTTGCTCTTTAAGGACAGATTTGACGTTCACGGTGTCATTGCAAAATAACAAAACAAAACTGCCCGCAAGCTGCATGCTTCACGCACCATCAAACATGGAAATTCAACATAACTACCATGCAAAAGGCCCAATTTTGATAATGAAAAAAAGATCATAAAAGCACGAGCCATCAAGATGGAACAGCTATAAAAGAGATCCAGAAACAAATACAAAATAAGCTCAACGTACCACTACTATCCTCGCGATAGTCTAAAACTACGGTGACCCCAGCATGACGTTCAAAGAAACACTCAGCAGTTGTACACTTCTGAGTGCTCGTCGCAGTCATCCGGAGTCAATAAAAGAACAGTCGGCTTTGATTGTAACTCAATCTCTGCGAGCGACGCACCCTCCCGCAGAACAAAACGTAGATAAGAAGTCTGCCACCAGAACAATAGCTGAAAAATCGACTACTCGAGACTAACACTGTGAAAAAAACTTACAGTTAAGCGCAAATAAAATCAAAAAGCTAGAATAAAGCATTTCACGCAGACTTCGCCAAGATAGGCTAGCTCTGTCGTAATTCAAGATGAAATCAACATAGTATGAGCACACAATTTACATCCAGATAGAGAAGCTGCTACTTCATCGCAAACAAGTAAGCAATCGTGGCGAGGAATGTGTGCGTAAGCAATTGGCTTCCTTTTACAACATTGCGCCACTAAAAAAGAGGTTTCAAGTTAAGAAGGTAATTCAAAACTGCTTATGTTATCAAAACTCAAATAAACACACCTTCAACCAGGTATCCGGATGAGCAATGGTAAAGGTTTGAAGAGGATGAAATGTACCATCTAATCAACGTTCGAAAATGGACACCGCAATAATTCTTGCTGTAAATTAATTCCAAAAATCAACTGCTCAAAAATCAAAATTAAAAATTAATTAGGAAGTTATAAGGAAACCAACGAAAAGGAGTACAAATTCTAAAACTGTCGCAAAACAACAAAGCATCCGAATTATTCAGCTTGCCGCCTTTCTGCATTGTTTACGCAATGGCGCAGAAAGGCGGCAAGATAAATAGTTGGTGCTACCGTAACTCGATATTTTGGCGGCATTTTGGCAGCCGCACGATGGATGGTAGGTAGCAGAAAAAGCGCTATATCTCATTCTGTGCGGGAAAGTTTTGGATGAAAATCTTACTATGAAGAGAAGAAGGTTGAGCTGTAAAAACGACATAAAAATTGTAGACATTCGACGGCTTTAAGGGTAAGTTAATGGGGTGTGCCGCACCCCATCTTATATATAAAGCTGAATGTCTGTTTGTCTGTCTGTATGTCTGTCTGTATGTCTGTATGTCTGTGTGTACGTATGTTCCGATAGAAAATTCCATTTCTGAACCGATCCGGACCAAACTTGGCACACATACACTTCGGGCCCCGGCGGGTGTCGTAGGCTACTTTTCGTCATCGATCGATATCGATTTTATCGATTTCTTGCAAAATTTGAGCTACGGGGCTGGGAGTTGGCACAGGGGGGGGGGGGGGTAATCGAGCATGCTGATTACCCCCACGGGGTGATCAGCATGTGTGTGCCAAGTTTGGTCCGGATCGGTTAAGAAATGGAATTTTCTATTCAGAACATACGGCGGAGCCGGGTAAGCCAGCTAGTTAACTATATCAAAAAAACATTTTTAGCGGACAGTGTTTATATGAATCGATAGCCCAAACCTTGTAGATTCCATAGGACTGTTTTGAGCCTGATTTGTCTTCTTAGCTCTGAGTAATATTTGGTGAAAGCACAGCGATCAAAGCGAAAAATGGAAAAACGAGATTTTGGTTCGCTTTTGATTCCACAGTTTGGAGGTCTTCTGAAGCGGGATTCCTGAAGTGGACAAAGAATGAGTAGTGCTTTGTTTCGAATGCAAGAACGGATAGCTAATTAGCCTTTGAAACAAAGTTAACCATGTTGGAATTTGACCATTTCACTTAGGTAGCCTAGTATCTTGAATCTTCAGAATTCGCTCACACTTTGTCTACAGTGGTTAAACATGCTAATCACGGACATGGTACGAATATCATGTTATCGTTATTATCAGGTTACCTAACTACGACTCCCTCGCCTTTTGACTCCTCAATACGACCCCCCAAGGTCAAGCGACGTGCCACACCCCACGCTTGACCCCGCTCATCTCAGTTTATTGCAAGGATGTGGTAGATCAAAGCGAATCATTCCTATGCTTATACATAACTGAAAAGAGGGGGGGGGGGGGGAGATTCCGCAACACAGTAAGTATGCTGAGGGTCGATACCGCATCTACCGCCTGTCTAGAGATTAATGGCCTGGCTAGACTTGGAAAGCCATTTGGCGCAGCAGTTTCAACTTCATCATCCCAAGAAGGAATTGGATGGATTCTAGCGCACTATTGTACACACCTAGTCAGAGCTCCCTCAATTTGGTCAGAAATTGTACTGTAAGTCTGTATCGTAGGGAAAGGTTCGAAAAAATCCATTCAAATTTTCAAAAATTAAATTGTTTTTTTGAGTCACCTGCCAATACGCAGGGTAAGGCTCGAGAAACGCTAACCCAAAGATTTATCAGTTCCATGGTTTTTGATTTTTCCTTCCAAGAACAAGGAATTTCAAATTTTGTGTAAGTTTTTAGCTTCCTCATTACGAATATGTTAGCGCCAAGAAATGCTATAGATTTTATATAACAGCATAATTTCGAGAATAATTAACGTCTATCAAAGTAGTTCCATTGTAAAATTCTAACAAACAAAGTGTGTCCTACATTTATGATCATTGTGAAACAAACAGAAACTACAAGTCGAGAAAAAAAGTTATGTTTTTGAACGCATATTGCATGATTACCATAAGTACAGTACGACGGCACAAATCAGATCGAATGTTATTTTTGCATCCTGATAATGCTTCTCGGGCAATCTCAAATACATTTCAAGATTCTTCCGAAAACGCTGCTTTTTCGGACCAGCCAACACAGGTGAGTCTCTTAACTTGGATCATGCGAAGGACGTTGTGATAAATGACAGAAAACAAAAAACGCCTGGTAGGAGTATCAGTTCAAACGCTGTTACGGTATCTCCATAAAAGAGGGCAAACCGGGGAGACAACAAAGAAGTTTCTTTCTAGCATTGAATCTCAAAGACTCAATAGTTCACAGACAGAAGAATCTCCAATAGTTTTGTCGATGTGACCCATGAGCTTGACGTCATCGCATCCTTTTACTTTATGCTCCAGAAGATCCTTGCTCAAAACATAATATAATAGACGTCAATTACCTACTCACCTTGCTGCATCTTGTGTTACTGCAAAAAATTTGAAATCCCAAATAAGGCCAGCGGGCCCGCCACTGCCGTGGATGCACGCAAGGACAGACGCCTAATTTAGAATGACGGGAAAGTTCCCGAGTTTTTATTTTTTTTTCTTGGTTTTCAACTTCCGAAGGCGCTATTTCTCATTGAAAAGTTGCTTTGAGGGCCGTGTGTTCGTTTTGCGCTAATAGTCTCAAAATTCTCTACTTTTACATCCAGAAAAGAAATAAGGATTACGCGCAGTCGAACGTAAAAAAGTTATAAGCACCCTTATCTCTGCAATATAAGCACTCTGTGCTCAAAACTGAGTTGAGAGTCCCTCGGTGAGCCTCACTGTGAACCTCTTGTTAACTGATAACGATGTCTTGCGGAAAAATCAACAAGATTAACAGTGTCAGCTAAAATGAAAACCAGAAGTTTATTGCAAGTCTTACTTTAGGACTATCCTCCTACTCAGTTATAAACACAGATTGCTTACATTGCAGAAATAGTCCCAATTATGAATTAATCTCGTTAGACTGCTGGTGATCCCTACTATTCTAGAGATCAAAGTAAAAAAAAACTCCTGAAATGTGAACGCAAAATGGCACGTAATAGTGGCAGCATACCAACGAGAAAACCGGCTGCAACAAAAATAAGCGATTCAAAGCAGGATCAAATTTTTGTGCAGTACACAAGGTGCAGCAAGGTGACTAGACAGATGACGTCTACTAGGCGTATGACAAAATCACTGAATGTCTCCTCTCTTCGTTTTTCCACTGTTAGCCGCGCCATGTCGCCGTTTTACAGAACCACAGTATACCACTGCATCAACACAATTTACCACTGCGTCATCACAGTATACCACTGCATCACCAGAGTACACTACTACATCTACGAAAAAAGCGAAATCGACAATACAATGCGTCACAAAGACAACAAAGACACCCTGTGCCACATATCCGCCGCATGTGAAGTCAGAACGGAGAGCAAGAGCTGCAAATTTCCGCGAAGTACTGTATTTCTCGATATTTATCATTTTGTAACTCTGCTTTTCAGGCTTTATCTGGAAAATCAAAAAAGCACATGACACAGAAGGCGAGGAAGACACAAGCCAGCGGCCGGTTCCAGAATGCCTCTGAAGAGAAGCCGCTGCGCTGATTCCCTTACTCTCGCCAACGTATAATTTTGAACGCTTTAAAAATTTCTAATTTTACATCAGTAAAATTTGAATAAAATCCTTGAAATTTGGACTATAATTTGCATCTTTATCTGCTTACCTTAACTAGTCAATTTACCCATTAGTCGCGTTGAGTTTACGAAAAACCAGATCATAGACAATTTGTTTGTGTTGCCACTGATACAACGAGAAAAAAGTTCAAATGTCTCAAGCAAGGCTTGGAATGAAGGGGCTGGAAAAATGAAAGCCAGACGAACAAAGGGAAATGAAAAAACGTTGGTGTCTTTAGCTGTAATTGGAATTCCGGGCACATTAGAAACACAGAACACAGAACACCAAAATTCTTTGTGGAATAAGTTAGATTTAACGCGACTAAAAACAAGCACCATCAGTGATTTTACTTCACCAGACTTCGGATTCAACAGTACGATGCCTCCTATGTATTGGTTGCTTGATGGTTTACTTCCATTAGCGAGAAGTTCTTTTTCAACCCTAAATGATCCAACCCTTCCGAATGTCTTTTCAACCCATTGACGACAATATGGGCCACCGGTGGCCCAGGCACTTTTGGCTGCCAGGGAATTCTGTAAAGTCATATCCTTGTAAGTCTAGTATTCCTTCCATAGATTATTATTTTTTTCCCAATTTTTGCACTCTTGGGACCTATAGGCTCTCGTTCAAGAAAAAAGTTCATAGTTGTTTACAAAACAGGCTTGCATTTCGTAAACAAAACTTCCCCATACCGAAGGTGCTGCACAAAATCGCGTCGTCCCACAGCGTCGCCACGCAAAATTAGGAGTCGCCGTCTTTGGCTCGAAGCACATAGAAATGCGTTCCTCATTGTATGATTTTGGTTATCAAGGATGTAGTCCCATTCAAATCATTCCTCAAACCAAAAATTTGGTGTCGTAGTTCTAGAAACAACAGAATGCCCGTAGGCCTAATTTTGTTTACAAATTTAGAATCAGCACTGTTACAAACTTCTCCAGGCAGAGCAGTAGCATACTGTAGTGCAAAAGAGGCGTCCCCACTGCCTTTGTGGCTGTTTCCATTGAAAAAAAAATTCCAAAACGATTTATCCATAAATTCTCGCGGTATGACTATCAGTGATAATTGGACTTAACCAAGAGGTCAGGCGCAAGTTTCTTTGAAAATGACTCCTCTCCCCTTTTCTGAAAGTTACCAAACTACCTTTTCTTCTTCCTCTTCACCTTCGGAACCTTAGAGTGTTACACTCTGAAAGACATCATCCTGTTTCAAAGAGTAGTAGTCTTTTTTGTAGTCTGTATACCCACCTTCCGATTTTCAGTGACTGACTTTACATTCACACGCAATTTGTCTACGGATTTTGACCTGAAGGAGCGCTCATTAAATGAATCGTAGTTCCCCCCCCCCGGGGTGGGGCTGTTTGGCTCCAAATTTTCACTGTAGCAAAAAAGGGCTATGACTCAATACTCATACCAGGAATGAAGCGATTTATGAACTTTGAGGTCAAGTTAAGGAGCGTCACGCACAAGCGCTGCAAAGCGCTCAAGGGGAGAACGCCATTGTTGAAATCTTGGCAGCACTATAATCCACTATTTAGAAACGATATAAAGTCTAATTTCTAGCATGGACTGAAAGAGAGTATTACTTTGTTATGAGTATAAAAGAGCTGACTTCTTTTACTTTGATCAAATTGATCCAAGACACGCTTTTCAGACATCAGGAAACACCAAGAAATGTTATAGGTGATGGATAGAATTCGTTGAGGTAATTTGATATACTGATTACGGAATAATAACCTCAATTTAGTAGGTTGTCCTAAAAATAAACCGCATTTCTAAATAAATTGTACTGTTTTTATTTTCCTAGCAGACTTGGGATATCAATCGATAGAGCGAAGCAAGCTCTACAAAACGGCTACCAAAATCCGTTTAATTTGTGATCCAGGTAAAATTTGGTGCCAAAAACCAAAATTTTTCAGCTACCCCAAAAATCGGATTTCCTTCCAGAAAATTCCCACGAAGTTCCAGCTTGGTCATTACATGGACACATAGTAGTACTCAAAAATGTATTTGGGGATTTTTTCAGGGGCTAAAAATTGAAACAAGGATGGTCCAAAAATGCCAAAATGCCAGTTTTTTCCGGTTTTTCACGTGAAACTGGTATTTTTCGATATTAGAGCACGTACAGGGATGAAGGTTTTAGATTACACTTAGTAAGGCTTGCTTCAAACAGTCACCAATGTGGAAGGGCTGGGGGCGGGTTTGCCATTTTTGGACCACCTCTATTTTCTCGCTTTCTAGGCGCGGAAAATTTCTAGTAAAGGCATATTTGAGTACTACTATGTGTCTGCTATATAGTGACCAAGTTTGAGATTGTAGAATTTCTCTTCGCAAAAACCTAATTTTCAGGTGGTAAATTATTTTTTTTTCGGTTCTCCAAACTTTATCTAATTAGGCGGATCCTGGGGAGTCATTGTGTAGAGCTGCTTTGTTCTATCGAAGAGTACCCTAAGTCTGCTAGGAAAACAGAAACAGTTTTATTTATTTGAAAACGGTTTACCTTTGAGACAACCTAATAAACAGCAAGTTTCTTTGGACCTTACGGTATGTGTAAGGTAAGAGGTAATTCTAAACTGGCTGAGACTTCGATAGTGTAGTCAATCAGTATGTTGTTCACGACTGTCATTTTTTCAGCTCTTTCAGAGTTTTGATACTCATCGATCTAGCATTTTTCTTCTTCACGTTACTTAATCATGGCATTAAATCAATTATGAACGAGGTTCTGTTCTTGATTACGATCTCCCTCCCCCCCCCCTCTTTACTCCAGTACATCCCAGGTGGGGCACGCCTGACCCTGCGCTTAACCTTGGTGACGACTTTAAAGCGGAGCGTGATGTCCTCAAAAATTATGCGCATGTTTCTGGCCACACCACGTGCTCTGCTTGCGTTTCATAATTAATGTTTTTGGAGGTGCGAGGAGCGGAAAGTCATGACAGCTGCTCTCTCAGGAATTTCACGATAATAAAGTTCGCGAAAAATTCAAGAATTCAAAAAAGAATTTGCGTATGTGCAAAGAAAAAGCGTACAGCCATGCTTTGTAGAAAAAAATTTTTTGGGATGTCTCCCTTATTTCTTCACCTCACCCCGCTACTTGATCGTGGTATTCAATCGAATTTGGTTCTTGATTACGACCCCCCCCCCCCCCTCCCTCCCCCAGTTTATCCCCAATACGTCCCAGATCGGAAACGCCTGATCCTACGCTTAACCCCTGGTGACAACGATAAAACAGAGCATGATGTCCCAAAATCATCTACAAGTTTTTAGGCACACCCTGCTTATCGCCAACAGTATCGTTTATTCAGAAATTCAAAAATAATAAAGCTCGCGAAAGATTCAAGAAGTCACAAAAGCATTTCTGCAGTCTCCACTAATGCATATTTATGGCAATAAAAGTTTGTGCGGGAGAAGACTGTCGCTCAGTCATATTTCTAAAAAAATTTTGGTATGTCTTTCTTACTCCTTCATCTCACCCCACCCCTATGACGTAGCTATGATTGCATAACACGAGAAATTCATCATATGCAAGCTCTGAAGACTCATGAACAATTCTCACCGCAATTTTCTTCATCTGCTAGTTTAATGCAGTAAAAAAAGTATCCATTTGAGTAGTTTTATTACCAAAGGTTTAGGTTTTGAAGAAATAACAATTCAATGTCGGTCATTCACAAAACAACAGTCGGTGCTGTATGGCGCAGTGCCTACGAGCGATGCTATGGCGAAAATTTCCACGAGTTCGCTGCCTACACGGACACGATGGTATAACTACCCTAAAATCCCGTAGATAAGAGCGGTTTCATTTATCGGTGAAAAACGAATGAAAAAAAATTGAAATTGAATGCAGTCACCCCTCTAACTTGATGGATGGATAAATAAAAATCGGAGAAGAAGTTTAGAAGCTCCGCCCCTCAACTCTAAACCCCGCCCACTTAATAAACAATTCATATACATAGAAATTCCGAAATTCCTTTGAAATCGCTATTTTTCTATATGAAATGTTTATTAAGTGGGCGGGGTTTAGAGTTGAGGGGCGGAGCTTCTTCTAAACTTCTTCTCCGATTTTTATTTATCTATCCATCAAGTTAGAGGGGTGACTGCAATCAAATTCAATTTTTTTTCATTCCTTTTTTACCGGTAAATTAAACCGCTTCTATCTATGGGGTTTTAGGGTAATACTATTTGCTAACCAAAATCTGTCAATCTTCTGGCATGAGGATTGCTGACGACAATCGATGGTCTAACCACGACAAAAGCATGAGGAATTTCTGCTAAATTTATTTTCAGAAAATAAAGAACATTTAAAAATTCATAAGATGATCCTCCTAACTCTAAAATGGGTCTCTTCCTGACAGTAGTCGATTACCTAACGAGCAGTTTACGTTTCCTATCTCACCATCAGCTCCTTCATGCAGCTGCCGTTGCGTCATTCCAAGCACCTGCACTCACGGAAACGCGCTATCTTTGTTGTCAGAGTGCATGATACTGAAAACAGGAAGAAATTCCGACCTTACTGGACGTTTTGGCACTCTGCCAACTCAATTTAGGGCGAATAGCTGAGGCATAATTGACCTTCACCTATTTTTGCACTATTTACAATCAGAATCAGATATAACCAACTTTCATTATGTACACAAATGTGATCAATAAATAAATCAATCATGCATTGAATCACTACAATAACAGTAAATAAATTATGAATGATCTCGGTTGTAAATCACCGACGTAGGGCAATACGATACGGGTACGGTAGATAAATAGGCATTTGCAGCAGTGTGGTGATCATCAGCGCTGGCTAGGAGCATGCGATTCAGAAAAGGAAAACGAAAAAACTCAATCAATAAGTCAATAAATCGATAACCATGTGTGAGTGCCAAACACGACTAGGCATACTGTAGATGATGATGTATTTTACTGTGCAGTATATGTATGTAGATCAGAGAGCGGATATGCGTATGCGCCTTCATCGAGGCTGGCTGAATAATGAACATAGACATGAGGGAGAGAGTACTTTTGGGAGCGGACAAGTAA